GGTGACAGACATTTCTTCGCCATCTGTGATTGATGCTTTCTTACAGATTTTCAGTCGTATGGGTTTCCCAAAAGTGATCCAAACAGATCAGGGGACCTCTTTCGTCAGTGCTTTGACAGAGGAATTTTTGGAGCGTTTCGGCATTAAACATGTAAGAAGCTCTGTGTATCATCCGCAGAGTAATCCCGTTGAGCGATTCCATAGAACGCTAAAAAGGGTGTTAAGAGTCGTATGTATAGGAGCGACTTCGGATTGGGAGAATTATCTACCATCAGTTCTTTTTGCTCTCAGAACAGTCACACACGAAAGCACTGGTTTTACACCAGCAGAATTAGTTCATGGCAAAAACCTACGAACGCCAGTCACTTTACTTTATGAGCAGTGGCTAGAACCGATTGAAGAAAGTAATAATGTTGTCAGTTACGTTTTCGAACTTATTAATCGAATGAAGAAATGCCAAGAACTTGCCGTGGAAAACATGAAAGAAGCTCAACAACGGAGGAAAACATGGTACGATCGAAACGCAGTGAAAAGAGAATTTGCTAGAGGAGATTTAGTTCTTGTTTTATCAACGAATCGTCAAAATAAACTAGAAGTACAGTGGAAAGGACCTGGAAAAATAGAGCAGAAAATTTCAGAAACCAATTATATTGTAAGTTTCGAGGAACAAAATGAGCCAAATCAAGTATATCACATTAACATGCTTAAACCATATTACAAAAGACCAGAAATGATTAATATGATAACTGAAGTGGAAGGAGACTTAGAAATGGACATTCCTCGTTTACCTTCCAATCCAAGTATATTAAATTTCTCGGACATCATAGAGGAGAATGAACTCGAGAAAAGGTTGAAATCCGAGCAAATAGAAGATTTACGAAAGATTTTATGGAAATATTCTGGTTGTTTTTCAAATAATCCTGGACTAACAAACTTAGTTTGTCACGATATTGAGCTATTAAATAACGAACCAATACAAATAAAGCCAGACTACAGACTGTCACCCCGACAGACTGAAATTCTCAAAAGGGAAATACAGAAAATGCTCGATCTTAAAATTATAGAGCCGGGAGAATCGGACTATACATCTCCCATGATTTTGATAGAATCTTCATAAAAGGATCCTCGGCCTTGTATTGATTATCGTAAACTCAATGCTGTTACTAAAACTGAATACTATCCTTTGCCTAATATTGAAGAACGTATCGAAACTGTAGCAAAAGCAAAATTATATTACCCTATTAGATTTATCTAGAGGCTACTGGCAAATTCCGTTAACAGAAAGAGCCCAAAGATATGCAACATTTGTAACTAGTTTTGGAAGTTTCAGGCCTCTACGTTTACCCTTTGGATTAAAAAATGCCCCATATTTTTTTAGCAAAGTTATGACTAAAGTCCTGGCTGGATGCGAAGGTTTCGCTGTACCATACCTGGATGACATTGCCATTTACTCAGAAAACTGGGAAGAGCACCTTAAAAACTTAACTTCTGTTCTAGAGAGAATACAGAAAGCAAATTTACGACTAAAACCATCAAAATGTAAATTTGCACAAGATCAAGTGAGATACCTAGGCCATGTTGTGGGACAAGGACAACGAACCCCGGATGAAGTAAAGATCCTGGCTGTAAAGGAGTATCCTACACCTAAAACCAAAACAGAAGTACGTGCTTTCTTAGGACTGGTAGGGTATTATCGCCAGTACATACCGAGATTTTCGGAAATTGCTTCACCCCTCACGGACGCTTTGAAGGGGGTAACAAAAAAAGGAAATATACAATGGTCTGAAATATGTGACAAAGCTTTTAAAAATTTAAAAGAGTTGCTATGCAAGAAACCAATTCTGTATGCTCCCGATTTTGATAAAAGGTTTATTATACAAACCGATGCCTCAGACAATGGCATGGGTATAGTACTATGCCAATTAGATGATGAACAACGTGAACATCCTATCTTGTATATAAGCAAAAAATTTACTAAGTTTGAAAAGAATTATTGTACTACTGAAAAGGAGTGCGCTGCTATCATCTACGCTATCAAGAAACTGCATTTTTATCTGGATGGTCAGCAAGAATTCTTGATTCAAACTGATCATAATCCTTTGGTCTGGCTACAATCCAACGCCAAATGTAACTCTAGATTGATGCGCTGGGCACTCTCATTACAACCTTATAATTTTAAGGTCATTCATCGCAAAGGATCTTTGCACAAGAACGTAGATGTTCTGAGTAGAATTAAGTAATGTAATAACTCTTAGTGTATGTAACCACGTTTAGAATTAATTTTATTATTTAATGTATGCTCAACTGATGTATTTGAACGTTCTCCATTTTTTTCTTTTTAAATGTGGTGTAAAAGTATTTTGTTTAAAACTTAAAATTTTTTGGCCTGAAATTTGGAAATTTATAAGAGAAATTACCTTTCTCTTTAAGCAAATGAGCAAGCCGAGCTTATTAAACTGTCAAATTTTACAGAACTTTTCCCTTCGGAAAAAGTCTCTCCGTTGGGGGAGAGGTTGTAACAGCTTTAAATAGTATTAAAATCTTGTAGTTTAAATAATTTAAATAGATGAAATACATTAAGTATTTGTGAATGGCAATATTGAAACCAGACTCGAGTGCCACGTGCGACTCTCGCACGAAGAATGTAATTTTTTTTTAAATGTTAGAATATGTTTTCTCTTCTTGTTTGTATGTCGCCATTTTTTTGAGTGTTAAATAAAAGTTTATTGCTGTGTTCCATCATTGGAGTTGCTTCATATTCGCCAAAGAAGTATCACTAACCAATTGCAGCAAAACTTTTTTAGTTTTTTCTTAAGAATTTGTCACACAATATGTCAAAAAATTTTAAGGCACAAGGTGTTTTGTTTAATTATAAAGTTTAAAAAAAAGTATTGTAGCCCCTCACATTTATATCACATTTAAAAATATAGCAACTTTTAAATATTTTGTGATTTCTGTCTTGAACTTTATGTGGCTTAAGTGTGAAGAAAGCAATACTTAATAACAGAGCTAAAAAGAAAAAAAAAAAAAAATGTGCTAGGAGGAGTGAGTTGAAGTGTAGCTTGGTAGCCTTTGATGTTCATTCAGCAAGAGCATAAAAAACCTCAACAAATCCTCTAGTGTGACATTAAGAGCTGAATCCTATCATCAGATTTCCTTTCTCTCTCTTTCCTCTTTAGCCCAAAGGGGTGTTAGGCCCAAAGGGCTATTAGTCTCAAAACGGTATTTTGTGTCATTTCAATTTCTCCGTTAATTCACTTTTCAAACTGTTGCCACCAAATATTATTGCCATGTATTGTACACTCTTAGACAAAAAAAAAAAAAAAAGGCGGACCAAGAAGGAGTTATCCGAACGGGACAAAAATCGTTAGAAGTGATGCACATGTACAGAAAAACAAATGGGTACAGTTTGCGAAAAATTGGGTGATTTATTGAAGTGATAGAGCTTTACAAAGTGAAAAAGTCAGTAACGTTTTTGCCCACCTCTGGCCGTTATGCAATCCGTTATTCGGCTTAGCATCGATTGATAGAGGTTGTGGATGTCCTCCTGAGAGATATCGTGCTAAATTCTGTCCAACTGGCGCATTAGATCGTCAACATGTCAAGCTGGTTGGAGGGCCCTGCTCATAATGCTCCAAACCGGCTCAATGGAGAGAGATCCGGCGATGTTGCTGGCCAAGGTAATGTTCGGCAAGCAGTAGAAACATGTGCAGTGTGGGGGAGGGCATTACCTTGCTGAAATGTAGGCCCAGGGTGGCATGACATGAAGGGTAACACAATGAGCCTTAGAACTTCGTCGATGTACTGCTGTGCTGTAAGGTTACGACGAATGACAACCAAAGGGGTCGTACTATAAAATGAAATGGCACCCCAGACCACCACTCCTGCCACCGGCCTGTCCACCGGAAGACAGTCAGGTTGGTAGCACATCGCTGTCCGGGGCGTCTCCAAACTCACCTTCGCTGGTCATCGGGACTCATCACTGAAGACTATTCTACTCCAGAAAGTGACATTCCAGTGTGAATGAGCCCGACACCACTGCAAATAGGCTTGACGTGTACAGAGGTCAATGGTAGTCGACGCAAAGGGCGCCATGACCTCAGCCCCCTTTCTGTGAGCTGTCTATGAATGGCCCTTGCGGTCCCTGAAGCACTAGTTGCACGTACAATCAATGATAATGATGCATCTGGAGCTGTGAGTGCTGCTCTGACGATTGCTCAGTCTTCACATTCTGTCGTTTCCTTCTTGACGCTGTGTGCAGCCATGGTTCACCCATTCCAGCTAACATTGTCTAATAGTGGCATCGCTCCTGCTCGAGTGTTGAGCTATTTGCCGATCTTCTTTGAGCCCAATTACATGACCACTCTCAAATTCTGACATCTGCTCATATTGTCCGCGCACCTGTGTGTGAGGCATAATTACTCTCTACCAGAGTACACAGAATGAAATTGGTGAAGAATTTATGACCTGGAATCATAATTTCTCCTCTTAAATATCCTGCCAGTTGTGCAGATCAGATGCGCTGTAGTGACAACCGTTTATTCATTGGCAGCCAAAATGTAAAGTTTTGCATTTTCTGTCGAAACCTGTATGCATATCAATTTGTGTCCAATTTGCTTTATATCTTCTCAGTGCTTCTTTTTTTTTTTTTTTTTTTTTTTTTTTTTTCCCCCCTCCCTAAGAGTGTATTTAGAGAAACTAGATAATGAAGAATCTGCATGAAGGCATGAATGTTTCTCACATTGTGAAAAAACAACGGTACATAGAGTCATCAAATATAGTCCTCCAACCAAACATGGGCACTTAGAAGCCCAAATTTTGAATTTGTTTTATTATCTGTTTCAAATTTTGTTAAACTTTAACGAGTGTTTGATTAACGAACTCAATGATTTCAAAAACCAAATTAATTGGTTTTAAAGAAAGATCCTCTTTTTATTTATTTATTTATTTATTTCTCTCTCTTTCTTGTGTAATGAAAAAATCTCATATTTCTGTTTAAGGTCATGGACAGCCAAATGTTTTCATTGCTGTTGCTGGACGAAGCAATGGGTTAGGTCCTGTCACATCTGGTAATTCAGCCTCACCTGTAATTAACTGTCCTCCAATAACAGCTGATTGGGGCCGGGAGGATATATGGTCTTCACTTAGATTACCATCGGGTAAGATGTAGTAATTATAAAAAATCATATATATTATAGAGATATTTTTCAATTTTTGAATTTAAGAAAGCTAATATAATATATTACTGAATTAATCTCTCTTTTCTTTAATGATAATTCAGTATGTGTTAATATTTCTGTGTGTTTTTAGATTTCAATTTTAACTGTGCATTTGATTTTTCTTTTAACATAAAGTTTAATTACAGTTCCCCCCTCTCTTTTATTTGTAGTGTTAATTTTCTGCCAAAAAAAAGTTAATAAGTTTAATATTTTTCAGGAAATAATGGTAGCCATAATATAACAAATATATATTCATATATGTGTGTGTATTTTGTCCGCCAGTTTGTGGAAAACTCTAAGGATATGAATTATATTTTAGTTTAATTTAAAAGTTCATTTATTTTGAGAGCTTCTTTTTGTGAATTATTTCGTATTCTGAAGAAACATTTTAAATTTAGAGCTCATTTAATGATTTGTTTGCAGTTACATTTTGTCAAGATTTCACACTGTCATAAAAAATTAGTTTCTTAATGACTATCAAAATCACAATAACAACCTTGTATTTTGCGTACATTTATTAAAATACTCAATCAATTTCGAGGGCAGCTACAGGTCCCTCGTCATCAGGAGAACGAAATTACTAGAAAGGGAAAGCAACTTCTGTAATGGCTTTTTATACCCTCCGGATTACTAGAAAGGGAAATTATTCTGTAACGGTTTTATACCTCCATTACAGAGGTTGCTTTCCCTTTCTAGTAATTTCGTTCTTCTGATGAGGAGGGACCTGTAGCTGCCCTCGAAATTGATTGAGTATTTTAATAAATGTACGTAAAATACAAGGTTGTTATTGCGATTTTGATTGTCACATTGGCGTGTTTCTCTTCTATTCTTAATGACTGTTTGATGTGTTGAAAGTATTCAGTGACTGTTTTAATTTGAAAATTTTCTCTTTTGTGGTTCAATGATCAGTTTGGAATCCTTAGTCTTGGTAGCTGAAATATATATTTAAAAAAAAAAAAGCTAAAAGTATAGTTAATATTTTATAAACAATTGTAAGTTGTATAATTGTAATCAATAAATGCTAAGTATGCAAAAATTCTTGCTTGTGAAAATTATGTGAACTGTAAACTTTCAGACAAAATGGATTTCAAACAAAGCATATTAGCTGCTTTATCATGCATGTAATGTCACTTATACAAAAGTATTTCTGTGAACTCTGCAGATCATGCATGTAATGTCACTTATACAAAAGTATTTCTGTGGACTCTGCAGTTAGAACTTAAATGAATTAATCAAGGTCATGTATTCAAGGAATTCTAAGTATATTGAGTACATGTTGCAATATGTGAATTATCTTGGGTTATAATGATCAAAATGATATCACAAAGCGTCTATAGGGGTTAAATTTTTGTCATGTGACTTTCTGTTTAACATTTTATATATAATAATTAATTCATAATATCTTAAAAGAAAAAATTTCGGTGCAACCAAAAAATTTTCTTTTTGTTAAATCGGTACTCATTTTGTTATATTGACTGTAATTGTTATATACTTATTGTTCTCTTATATCAAAATGGCAATATATAAAGCATTTTTGATAAGTGAAATATGCTAATTTTATACTTTTGTGCATTTTAGGTCTTGGTTGTACCACCGTTTTATCTCCTGAAGGTGCTGCTTTAGCGGCTGCTCAAATTTTAGGTCTTACAGATCATGTCATTTGGTCCCGCTTGAAAGCAAAGCATTTGAATGTTTGGATTGAGTTAAAGCATGCAGATAAAGACATATCAGCATAAAATATATTTTTCAGTTTGTGCTCTGAAATAAATTTGATTTGTTTTTCAAACTTCAGAAAACTATATAAATAGCAACAAAATGTATTTTTATATGGAATATAAACTTATTATACATGTCATTTATTTTGATAAACAAAATAAAGATATTTAGCTAAATGAAGATGATTCTTCCAGCAATTAGATTGTGAAATCTGTTAATATCATCAAACCATAGACCTGTTATATACTAGACGGAGCATCGCCATTCAAAACCGGGTGAAAAAGTGGCACAGGAATGAGCTGCAGGAGTTTGGGCATGAAATGGAACTGAATCCAGACTTTGGCGTACTATCGCCATGGCTGGCGATTTTTTTCTCTCAGTTCAAAATGCGAACTTGGAAAGACGTCATTTCGCAGAAGCTGCCGTTGAATTTGCAGAAGAGGTTAGATCGATAAACACCAGCCAAAATTAATAATTTTCCCTAAAATTGGACACTTTATTTTAAAATTTAAATAATTTTCATGCTGTAGAATAATATTTTGCAATATGTCCATCGGCGTCTACCGAATTTAAAATAAAATTAAAAAACTGGAGAGAACAAACTAAATAATAAACTAATAACTAAATAATAAATAATAAACTAAAAAATAAATAAGTAAAATAAATAAATAAAAAAGAAGGTTTTTTAGTACTCAGGACAGAATAAAAAATAAAAATATAGATAACATAAGAAGAATGAGTGAAAACAGAAAATAGTACAAAAAGGAAATTTAATGTTAATACGAATTTAAGGAAATTTAAAGGAAATTTAGTGTTAATACGGTGTATTACAGAGAACTACAGAGTAGGCAAATCAACGTGAGAAAGGCATTAAATTAAAATGAACTAAAAATGAATGTCAATATAAGCAGATACAAGTTAAAAGGAAGAGAGTGGTAAGGTAAATTAATGAAACAAAAAAGGTGGATAAATTAAGACTTCCTTTTACTAGCAAAAATAAGTATATTACGCACTAGCAATATATATATTATGCACGTTTCACAATGTAGTCGCACTTGATTTTAAATAATTTTAGAAGGATAAAATTTAAATAATGTTCATTATTTTTAAAAAGAAACTTAAAATGATTAAAGTTTTGAAATTTAACTGCTATATAATTGACTATTATCTTAATACTTAACAAATTCTTAATATTAAAATAAATGACAGAAACATGATATAAGAAAGAAAATACGTGATTGAAGGTAAACAATTTGTTATATTTGGATGCAGAAAAGGATATAAATAAAGTCATTCATGTCCCCCCTAAAAAAAACATAATTTTATGCAGTTTTTACACAGTGTTACATCAACATTACCAAGTATTAAATACATACATTATACTCGCCATGTCCGCATGAGCAAATGCAAAGAATATATAACAAACGCATTCAAAGCAGTCTGTTGGCGTATGAAAAATTCGCCAAAGCAGAATACTAGACTAATTAAAATTATATTGTATTACTAAAATTTTAACATTTTTTTCAGAAAACAGTTATTAGAAACATACATATATATTAAGATACTTTTATTTAAATGTTTATTTCAAGTATGCATATATTAATAAGATTAGAAAATCTATTTTTATTAGAAAAAGGCAAGTAGAGGGATAAAAAACCTCTACATTTTATAAAATTAGGTTTTAAAACATTAGAAAAAGCTCAGTTGTGAAATGTTACTCCTCATCTTTCACATATCTGGAATTACATCCATATGCGGAGCACGAAAGTATCATTTTTGAAGTCCGAAACAATGCGCTTACACGCAAAACACTTGCTTCTCACAAATTCTCCATAGAACTGTAATGGTAAGGAAGATTCGCGGGAAATACGATCTGGGAAATGTACCAAATGTCACGTGGTTCGTATTCCTGTTCCCCTTCAGGGTTGCCGTTTCTCTCTCTAGTACATTACAGCTCTATGCATCAAACAGTACACTTACCAAATAGGAAAAAAAAAAAAATACTGGTATTGATCTGCTTATTAAAACTGCTGTTCCTTGTACTTCTTCAAGAAAATGGTCTCTTGTTACTTTACTGCACTGACATCTTCTTCTGAGTAGGAAGTTCTTTACATCATAATTTAGAAAAACAGGGTTTCGGAAGACAGTGAAATACAATGAAATCAGTTTCATGAACAGTCAGCTCCCGATATATCAAGGTTATGTTGGAGACATGTCCATGGCTAATCCAAAGTGACTAAAAAATATAGGAAAGAAAGATAACCCATATTTTAATTAACTCAGAAAACTAATGAATTTTCATATTTCCAAGCATGTTCATCTGAATAAATTCATTTGGATTAATGCATTAAATGTATAAAATAAAATTATTGCAAATAGCAGAAGAATAAATATCCTTAAAAGTAAAGAGAAGTTATAAATGCTATTAAATAAGAATATTTGCAAAAGAGTTTGAATAATGTCATCAAGTTCAAACTTATGTAAAAAATTTAATTTTGAGTTTTTTGTTTTTACAATGTTTATATATTCTGGCCGTACATTGTTGAGAATTAAAACAATTCCCAAATATGCTCTAGCATCATTTGCTGTTACTGCTATTATCCTACTTGTTTGTCTTTCCCGTTTCATGTTTTGCATACCTCTGTAAAAAGTAAACTTAAACTTTTTCTTTTATAGTCAGTGCCTGATTAGTCATAACCTGATTAATAAAGAATTAATTGTAATTAAAAAATAATGAACTGTAAACAGAATGCATTGACTTATACATTTTATTATTACTAAAATTTTAAGTCAATTTTTACAATTTTTACATGTGTGGTGAAATGTGACAAATTAATAAAAGTTTATTTGGAGTGTCAAAATAGCTTCATAGCCAATAATTTAAGCCAAAGTTAGTTTAAATTTGACTAGCTTAAATAACTTTCTGGCAAAGTAGAGACTAATTTTTAATTGCAAATTTGTATTTTCTATGAGGGAAGATAAATAATATCCATCCAAGAGCATACATCTAAAGAACTGAAAATGTTTTTCTTTTATATATACTAAGTGCAACCTGAATATTTATACATTGCAATAATTTGAAACTGCAGAAGTAAAATGAATAAAGAAAATATTGTAGGATACTGTGACAAAGTAGATTAATTCACAGAACACTGTTAGTTTGAAACTATGTGAAAGGACTGGCCACCAGGTAATTCATGTTATGCAGATAGCCTTTCTGCTTTACCGTATTCATTTATAAAACACTACATAAGGATTTAAGTATTATCTGTTTAAAAAAATGTATTTTTACATTACACCTATTATTTTTACTGTTTTTAAATATTCAATGCAAATCATATTTATACTTGTAAGATTCTTTACTGTGTACTTTAAAGTTACAATTGGATGGGAAGAATCTTAAGAACTGATAAGCGAATAATCGCTTGAGTTCGTGGTGTAGAAAACAAGTAAGAAGGGTGAAATAATCCTTTATTATTTGAATAGTTGTAACAGAACTCCGTTTTGGAGTTGTACAATAAAGCCGACACTCGAGCTTGAACTTAAGAGACTAAACTAAACTAATCTTATCTTAAATAAAAAGATATAGCCAAAGCTATCAAAAGTCTAACAGAGTTGGCCTCTTAACGCTGAACTGCGGAGTTATAAAGCGCCTCAAGTATTGCCGAGCATAATTATAGCTTAAGAGAGAGTAGCCTAAAAAGGCAGATGCGTGCTAGCCAGAATCTCTTGATTCTCCCTAACTAAGTCAGTAGAACTTCGCAGTTCAATACCGTTCTTCCTCAATTTGCATTCAAACGAGATTCTAAAACTATGTTCTGCCTGGAAGTTTTAAGTTGAAATTCAGAAATGATAGGAAAAGAAGTTTAACTCAAAATTTAACTGTTACATAAATTAATATAATCCTTACACGCTGTACAGCTGTATCACTTTTTAAATAGTTGCCACCAAATATTATCGCTCTATATTATATTTAAAGAAATAAAATAATGATGAATGTATGTTTCTCGCATTGTGAAAAAAAACAACTAATGCCTAGAGCCATCAAATTTTGAATAACGTAGTCCTTCACAATATAACCTGGAAGCTCAAATCTTGAATTTTGAATTTGTTTTATTATCTGTTTCATATTTTTTAAACTTTAATAGAACTTTTGATAAAGAAACCCAACTATTTCAAAGCAAGCAGTGGCAATACACTGTACAGAATAAAATAATTTTATCTCCAGCGTGCAAGACTGCCCATCAGAAATTCTAAAGATATGCTGTTTTTAAATAATTTTAGCCCAAATGCTCTCAAAATGTGTATGTATGTGTAAATAAAAAAAGTGCTCCTTCGGGTGTAATATCAAATCTGAAAGCTTTCAATTTTTTTTATGTATAAATATTTTCAAAATTTTTATATTCAAAAATCTTATTACTTGAGGAAAACTTTTTTATTGTCATAAAAGTAAGTTTTAAATAGCCTCAAATATGTTGATGTCTAACAATTCTCTGACTTAAAGCTAGTCTTTAATGGAAATTTTAATATTGTTAATTGTTTGTTGTGTATCCATTGTGCTAAATCAATCCATATTCCAAATTTTTATTTTTATTAAAATTAAATATGCTAGATCTTGAAAGTATGATATTCTGGACAAATAACTTCTAAAATGTGCCATGTCCGTAACTTTAGTGAACTATTAAAACTGTAGATATTTGAAACTAAATTTACGTACTGTTTCTATCTCTATAGCCAATAAACGTATATGAAAACAACATATTAGTTTATTAATTTATTGTCAGAGATAAATAGTAAAATTTTGAAGGATAATAAACTTTGTTTATATGTATGTATATCCTAATAGCATTTTTATAATATTGTAATTTACACTATAATAGTTTTATTTTATTTATTTATTTATTTATTTATTTTTTAAATATCTCCAGCTAAGTTTTTCTTCTTTATTTTAAACATCTCGTTAAATGTCCTTTAAGTTCCAGGATGCATTTCAAGAAAAAGGATTTTGTCATGCATTAACAGCTAGATATTGTTAAAATTCTCCTTTATTATTGTTTAATGCTGAGTTATTATAAGTTCTATTTCATGCTTTTTATCTATTAGGAAACTCTGAAAATTCAAATTTCATGTGGTAGATTATTTTTAAATTTTGTTAAATCTGAATTTTATTTTCATTAATA